GGGGGCCCCGGGGGGAGGGCTTTGTGTTGGGGGTCTGCTTTATTCCCTCAGGGCTGTGTTAAAGGTGGGTGCGGGCGGGCACCCGCGCTGGTCCCCTCAGGTGCTTGGGCAGGGAGCGGGAAGGGCCTGTGCTTGTCTTCCCCTTGGCTTCTCAGGGGCTGCACATATATATATGTGTGTGTTTTGGGGATAAGTAGGTGCTGTCCCTCCCTGGTGTCTCCACTTAACTCAAACTTTCAAGACTCCTCCATGTCCCTTCCCACCTTAGATCCCTCAGCACTGCTGCTGAGGCGCCCTACAGGGTTAAGTCCTTTCAGGCCTGTAGTGCGTGGGGATAAGTGTCAGGGCTCCTTGATGTTCCTGCTTTGTTCCCTCTGAGGAGGGACTCTGTGACACCTCCCTGTCCCTCCTCACCCCAGGTCTGGTCAGCATGGCAGATGAGGAGATTGCAGCTCTTGTGGTGGACAATGGCTCCGGCATGTGCAAAGCAGGCTTTGCAGGGGATGATGCCCCCCGTGCTGTGTTCCCCTCCATTGTGGGGCGTCCCCGGCATCAGGGTGTCATGGTGGGTATGGGGCAGAAGGACAGCTATGTGGGTGATGAGGCCCAGAGCAAGAGGGGCATCCTCACCCTGAAGTACCCCATTGAGCATGGCATTGTCACCAACTGGGATGACATGGAGAAGATCTGGCACCACACCTTCTACAATGAGCTGCGCGTTGCCCCAGAGGAGCACCCTGTCCTGCTCACTGAGGCCCCCCTGAACCCTAAGGCCAACCGGGAGAAGATGACCCAGATCATGTTTGAGACCTTCAACACCCCAGCTATGTACGTAGCCATCCAGGCTGTGCTGTCCCTCTATGCCTCTGGCCGCACCACTGGCATCGTCATGGACTCTGGGGATGGTGTGACCCACACTGTGCCCATCTACGAAGGCTACGCGCTGCCCCACGCGATCCTGCGTCTAGACTTGGCTGGCCGTGACCTGACCGACTACCTCATGAAGATCCTCACGGAACGGGGCTACAGCTTCACCACCACGGCCGAGAGAGAGATTGTGCGGGACATCAAGGAGAAGCTCTGCTATGTTGCTCTGGACTTTGAGCAGGAGATGGCTACAGCTGCCTCATCCTCCTCCCTGGAGAAGAGCTATGAGCTGCCTGATGGGCAGGTGATCACCATTGGGAACGAGCGTTTCCGATGCCCTGAGGCCATATTCCAGCCCTCCTTCCTGGGCATGGAGTCCTGCGGTATTCACGAGACCACCTTCAACTCCATCATGAAGTGCGACGTGGACATCCGTAAGGACCTGTACGCCAACACCGTGCTGTCCGGGGGTACCACCATGTACCCCGGCATCGCTGACAGGATGCAGAAGGAAATCACGGCCCTGGCACCCAGCACCATGAAGATCAAGATTATTGCCCCGCCGGAGCGGAAATACTCAGTCTGGATCGGTGGCTCCATCCTGGCATCTCTGTCCACCTTCCAGCAGATGTGGATCAGCAAGCAGGAGTATGATGAATCCGGCCCCTCCATCGTCCATCGGAAGTGCTTCTAGAGGGACTGCTGGCAGTCACCTGAGTGCTGTCCTCGCCTGGACGTGGGCTAGGGCACCCTCCTCCTTCCACGTTGGACCACAATTGTTCGACTGTTACTTATTTTATGTTTTAACTAATTTGGTGAGATACTGACTAGTGACGTTTGCATTTCAATGGCCCGTTAGGCTGTAGTTCTCCTGTGGCTGGCTAGCCGCTTCTCCTCCTCAGTGAGGCTCTCTGGGCCTTGGAAGGGGACAGGGGGGTTGTTCACTTTTCCTCTGTAACACTGCTAGGATGACACTAAAATTAGACTTGTCACCTTTAGGTTTGTCACAAGTTTGTAGGAAAACAAATAAACTTCTTAGGCTTTAAAAACTGTAAGAGGTCGTTTTGCTTTCTTGTGGGTGGCCCCTCAGTCTCCTTGCTGCAAAGAATTATTGTGCAATACATGGTTTGGGACTTAAACCCAGCCTGTAGCTGCCTCCTTAAAACTTGGAAAACAATTTGGGCTGTGATTCTGTGTAATGGCACCTTTTAAAGCTGCCTGGGGCTGTGCCGTCTGTTTTAAGAGCTGTTAGGGAGGAAAGCTTGACTGGTATGTGGCTCTTGCAGCTTTTCTCTACTTTCATGGTAACTTGGCTTTTTTTAGAACACAAACAGCTCCTCTTGTCAGAAAAAGTTGGCGCCTGGGTGCAGGTTTTGGTGACTGGAGGAGCAGTGGCGTCTCCTTTTTTGGGAGAGGGTGACAAGATGCAGCAGCAGATCGCGCTGAAGCTTGCTCTGCTCGGGGGAGCTGGTCCCCCTGCTCCGGGGGGCTGCCTACAGGAGCTTCTCTTCCATGGGAAAGGCTAGCAACCCTTAATTAAGTATTGTTAATTAAAAGGGGGGGATCCCGCGGGGAACCTCACAGCGCCAGCCTCGACTGCGGCGCGAAGTGCGTGCCTCTCGCCGCCCTCCTGCTTTTAAACCCTCAGCCCGCTGCCTATTGGCTCGTTGCAGTTCGTCAGGCTAGGGCCAGCCAATCGGCAGCTTCTTTTTTCTCGGAGCCGCCTACCGGCCGAGCTGGCTTTCCCTGAGGGACTCCGTTTCCCAGGGTGCACCGCGCAGCCCTTCCGCTTCCGGTGCGCCCCGGGGCTGCGGGTAGAGCGGGGCTGCGGGGCGGGAGGGGGCTGGGGCCACTGGGACCCCTGGGACCCCTCGCTGAGCGGCCGCGGTGCCTCGCACCACCCCCGCCTCTGCTCCGCCGGCTCTGTGCCGGGAAACGGGGCTTTCGGTGGCTGGGGAGGGGGTGTGCTTGCCAGGAGGGCCGGGCCGGGCCTTGCTCTTGGCTCCTCGCCTTCCTCGGCTGAGTGTTGAGGCTGGCAGGGGTGTTTCTGCCGTCTCGGTAGCTTCAGTTATGGCTTAAGACTGAGGTAGGAACCGAAAAAGCGTGGCTGTGTGTTGGTCAGCCCCCCTGTTAGTTTCCTGCATGCTTCCCAGCAAGGGTGGGGCCTGTGGATTTATAACGTGTTTGTCTGGTTAGTGGAGAGTCTTACTTTGGCTTGTTTTCCTTCACTTCCAGAGCTCTGTGGGTCTTTAATTGGCTTGGCTCTGCTCGGTGAGGAGGCTGAAATGTCCCTGCCGGAGTGGCACATCGCGGTGAAGCTGGCAGATCAGCCGCTGGCTCCCAAATCCATCTTACGTTTGCCAGAGACGGAGCTGGGAGAATGCCCGCTCGGTGGATGCAGCATCTCGTACCTCAAGCAGCTCATCACAGGCAAACTGCAGGAGTCCGTCCCAGACCCTGAGCTCATCGGTGGGTGCCTGTGTGGGTCCTGTCAAAGTCCTACCGCTTGGGGCCACCCTCTTCCTCTCTTCACTACCGCCTGTTAGCGGTGCTGGGCTGGTGGGAAGGCTTGGCACACCCAGATGGGCAGGGCTTGGGGGGCTCAAAACGCTTTCCAGAGACTGCTACGCCGCAGTGGTCTTAGTACCTTGCGGTTTGGATGGTATGTTCTGCGTCTGCTTGGGGTCACAGTGCTCCTGCCGTGTCGGTGCCCTTGTTAGGAAATGGTTTGACTTGCTAACACGAGCATGTCCTTGTGAGTTCTCTTGTGAGACCTGTGAGAGCGGTCGGCTTTTCTAAAGGAGGTGACAAAGCCATGTTCTGTGAATCTCAGCTCTGTGATTTCTTCCCTCAGTCTCAGCTCTGTAACTTCCCTGTGTTCTGGCGTCCCACGTGAAGCAGATACACGTGGAGCACTAGCCTGCGGGCAATCCTCACTTAAAACACTGCAGGCCCTTTCTAGGTGGGCCATAAATGTTTGTCTTTAGATGTTTCTCTCTCCTAGATCTGATCTACTGTGGCCGTAAGCTGAGGGATGACCAGACGCTCGATTTCTATGGCATCCAGTCTGGCTCCACTGTTCATGTCCTGCGCAAGTCCTGGCCTGAGCCTGATCAGAAACCAGGTGAGGGGGAGACAGTGTGGGTTACTGCTTAGATCTCCTTGGGATGTGTTTGGTGGGCGTCTCCTGTGGCTGAGGAACATCCTCTTGTGATTTGTTTCCGGGAGGCTGATGTGAGGTTTGGAGGAGGAACTAATTGATACATTTCTGTGGCAACTCTCCACCTCTAACAGCTGCAAATGAGTGTTATGTTTTCTTGCTGACGGAAGAGTTAAGGAATGAGCTACGTAATGTGGAGAGCGAATATCCTTTCCTTAATTGACCGTGACCAATTTTAGGGTGTGGCCAGAGTTGGGAACAAAGCAACTGATTACTCAGCTTGAGGGGTGAGCAGGCTTGTGTGTGTTTCTGGTCTGCCTGACTGTAGAATAAGATGGGTTAGTTTAAAGTTGTTGCTTTAATACGGGATATGTCTGTGTATTTTTGTATATCTGGAAGCTGAGAGTACAGTTACTTGTTAGACTGTGGTAACTGTACTGAGACCATCACAGTCATTAGTCTGTGCCCTTCCTCTCTGGGTTAGCTGAATCCGGGGGCATTAAAGAATTGCCACTGCAGAAGTCCCAGTGACGTGTAAGATGGCTGGTAAAGCTGACAGAGGGAGAACTGTGTATTGTTCTGTGGTTTTTCCTCCCTCAGAGCCTGTGGATAAGGTGGCAGCAGTACGGGAGTTCCGGGTCCTTCACACTGCCCTGCACAGCAGTCCTGCCTACAGAGATGCAGTGAGTTGGGGCTTCATACCGTGCTGTCTGGGTGTCTTTTGTCTGTCCCCTCTCTCTGAAGAGAGTCCCCCAGTGGAACCTCATTGTGTGACGCTGCTGGTCTGCTCTGATTTCTCTGGCAGGTCTTCAAAATGCTGGGGAATAAGGAGTCGCTGGATCAGATCATTGTAGCTACTCCCGGCCTCAGCAGTGACCCTGTTGCTTTGGGTGAGTCCAGACGTGATCCAGAGGATCTGAGGAAAGTCAAATGAAGAGTCTGTGTTTAATTCCTGGCACGGGGAAGGGAGAGTTTTCCCTTCTCTGGAGAAAGTGCCTTTTCAGTCCCTTTGTGGAGCATAAGAGTCAGTGCCTGCTCGGGTGTCGGCTGTGGTCCGTTGGTGATGTGCGGGGAAGGACACTGGCTTCAGAGGGGTTAGGGAACACGGAGCCCAAAGGAGGGCAGTGGGGATGGATGCTTTCTCCCCGCTGCAAAGCGTGACAAAGATGTTCATTAAACATGCTCCCTTGTTCTGGCCGGGGTGTTACTGGCCTTTTGGGCACATGGCTGTGAGGCAGGTGGAATATGGGATGCGGTCACAACCTGGCTGGAGTGAGCTGGGTGCCGGATTTGGTCCTGCCCTTAAGGTGGAGCTGTCTATGCTGGAGCACAGCCCGTGGGATCTGCTGGGAAAGCCCCGTCCCTTGGGTGTGTGGCTGTGATGGAGAGTCTCTCCAGGAAGACCTAAAAGGCTTCGGAAAGAATAATAATGTGTTTGTGGTGTCTGCTAGTGACTCAGTTCCTGAAAAACAATTAATTATTTTGGTTTTTCCCATGGCTTTTGTTTGACTGGCTCCTGTTTCTTGTATCCTGTCTCTTACTCGTCACGTTTCCTGGTCCCTCCCAGGAGTCCTACAGGACAAGGATCTCTTTTCAGTGTTTGCAGACCCCAGCATGCTGGACACGTAAGTTCACGTCAGCTGGTGCAGTGACTAAGCAGTGCCTTTGTTGCACTCTTGTGCAGGCTGCGTCTCTCTGGGTGGGAGAGAGAGTTCTGCTCCTGTCTGCTTGTACAGATGCACCAGGCCAGAGGGTCAGGGTAGGACACTTGTTCCTCAGCAGCAGGAAGGAGGGAGCTGATGCTTCATACCCATGTACCTCCACTCTAGGATTAAACCAAAGGATACTTAGTGGGAGGCAGGGCCGTCATCGCCTCCAGATTGTGGGTTCAAATCTAGAGCTGGTTGCTCGCAGCAGGGAGTTGCTCCCATGAGATCATATGGGAGATGTGTACCATGGGAGGGTCGACACGGGATCAGGAAGGAGCCCCAGCTTCTTCAGCTGCGTGGAACAGTGTGGGGAGGTGTTTGTTGCTGGACAGCCAAAGGCAGAGGTGGGATGGCTGTGCCGTAAGTTCTTCACCAGTGTCGAGCTGCTGGTTTCTTAGTTGCCCCGTGTACAGGATTCATTCTTCCACTCTTTGTCTCCAGGCTAATCCCAGCTCACCCTGCGCTTGTGAATGCCATTGTCCTGGTTCTGCACTCGGTGGCTGGCAGCACCCCCCTCCCAGCCCCAGAAACGTCCTCCCGAGGCATGTCCTCTGGCTCCTACCGGGACATGCCAGGTACGTTCAGCCACGCAGATGAGCGGGGAACCTGCACAAATGATGTGCTGCAGGATGTGCAGACAAATTTGTGCTGTGCTGCCACAGTCATCCCCAGGCTGGAAGGAAAAGAGGTTGGGGTGCCTGAGCTGGAAGCATGCCCTGTGGTTTGATAGATTTTTGCGTTGTTTGGGACTCGTCTGGGGCACTTGGGCCTCAGGGCCTATCCCAACCAAGCACGTATAATGACTGTTGGTAGCAGAGTGCTGTGCCCTCTCGTGCAAATGGTGGGCCTGACCTGTCTTCCACTGACCTGCTGCACGTCAGCTTGTTGGTGCTGAGGCCTCTGTCCTAAGTAGCGTATTAGCTGGGGATGAGCCTGGTTGCATGGCCAAGGACTCTG